AACACTGTCGTCGTTCGCAATGATGACAACGTTTATTCGCTGAAACATACAGAATATCTCCGTAGACTACGCGTACATTCACTTCAGGTCCACAAAAGTCAAACCTGGCTGGATCCACGCGGCCCGCGTGTGGCCCTTACCGTTCATTGAGGACATCCACCGGCATGTGTATCTTATCGGCAAGCGGGTATTTGCGGCTCTCCGCGACGAAGACGACGGGCCATTTCGTTTTCGGCCAGCTGTTATCGTAGGAATAGTCACTGCGTGCAGATCTTGCCGAATATTTTGCGTCAAGACGAAGAGCGCGTCTCACAAGGCCCGCACGGAATTAGTGGATAAATGCCAAGTTGCCATCCAGCTGCCGGTCACCGATCCGCCGCTGCTGTGCCGAGTCGATGGACTAATGTTCAGAAAGTTTTCGTTCCGTTTGACAAAACGCAACACATTTAACGCGCTTCCGACAGATCGCGGATCATCAAACATTTTCGCGACACGATGAAGCGCGATGTACGGTTGGTCACCTTATCGGATTGCTGCCGATTCCATCTTAGAATCCAGCAAGACGGATGTATGTTTATTGCCGTCAGTCTGTCAGCGGACGCACAAACAGCGCAGTGGATATCCAAAGCAATGTCGGAAATGCTGCTGACCCATCTGGCCACCCGGGATGGTTTGCCACCGTTCTTTCAGACTGACCTTAGCGAAAGTCCAGAGCTTCCCTGCGAATCAGGTTTGGAATGTCGGGACTCCCGATTTTGCTGGGGAATATACCACAGTAGAATTCGTTGTTAATATACCGCTTGCAGTAAAATAATAAAACATCGCGAGTCAATAAGTAATCGAGCGAGCGGCTTTCTATTGAGCTTCAGTGTTCATTAACAGATTAAACTGATGCAGTATGAAAGTCTTAATATCTTTCTCTGCTTGTAGATGCACGGACTGACCAGCTGAAGAAATGTGTCTCTATTGGTAATCTTCCCCTATCCTCATGAGCGAAATCTTTTCTTTTCTGGAACTGCATTCATGCGCAAAATGAAAAGGTAAAGAAAATTATTGTACCTCTTACTGCTTTAGAGCCAAGGTGCGTACGCGTGACACAGTACGCTCTGGGCAGATTATGGGTCAGTAACCCCAAGTGGGTTTAGCCCCAGAGTCCCATAAGTCCCAAGACAAGAATGATAATGATTTATCAATAACCTTATTATGCATCACTGCAGCACATATCATTTTACCACGGTGGTTCTGCTGGTAACAATTTTAAGAGGGCAAATAAGGCCCAGCGCAAACTGCAGGAGGTGTCGATTCCTGTACCAGCTAGTTTTGAACATACTACTACTACTACCTACGTAGTAGTTCATGAAACTTGTCCACTTTTCAAGGTACAAGTTTTGAAACAAATCAAACAATGACTTCATACAGCTTTTGTTCTTTGCAAGTCTGGTGGCCGCCTCTAAGTACAATACTGAAATCTGTATTTTTATTGGTAAAGGGCGATTTTCAGCCACTGCTGATCTTGAGCAGTTAGCACGGGAAAATAGTACAAGTACATCATTAGTACTTACTCGTAAATATTTTAACGTGCGTTCCACTGCAGCCTGGCAGTAGTTCAACACAGAGCTTATTATTATTGTGATTCATAAAAATGCCCAAAAATACGAAGAGCTCGGAAGTTTACTCGTAAATCATTCAGCTCCCGTTTTTTGTTGATATCTGGCTTCGCTGTTTTCAGAGTGTGCGCTTTATGGCAGGAGCTCCTGAGCAGTCGTCGCGCAACCGAACACATCAGCATCAGTTTGGGAACATGTACTAACAACACACAATCCGTCAACTTCAACTGCTTTAGAGGAGCAGTTCTGCTGAGCCGTACCATCAGCTCAACCACCAAGGCTTGGCTATTCTGCAACCTTTCGCGAACAAGTACTACTTATTGGATTTGTTGTCAGCCATGCAAATCAAGCTGCCTGCATTAATTTTCAAAGATTTCACCTTAGCTGATGCCGGTGGCATATGTGGGTATTGTAGGTCTTCAGACCCTGAGGAAATAAACTTTTACGGGAATTATGGTGCGACAGTATTTTTATATTGTTATCACAACAGCAGCCAGCGTATCGTGCTGCACAACTGGAAACTGAGCAATATTTTTAGTCTAGCTTTTATATCAAATATTTTTTTGATTCACCTATAAGTATAGTCAGACTTATACGGCTGCCAGCCCATGAGGTTACGTGGATGAAACCTCTAACCCCGAGTACCGGGGCGAGATTGATAAACTACGTCACTATCCCAAAACTGGTTTTGGATGGCTGCCAAGATTGGGAGAGCATGACCAGCAAATTCATGTGGGCTTTGGACAGTAATTTTCCACCTGTCGCGGACAAAGTTTATGTTAAGGTTACGAATATTCATGCTCGTTGGGTGCGGTCACTCGTCTATCCGCATGAATGGGAGAGCATTCGGGCATTTCTCTCACTGTAAGTTGTTTGAAATTTATTAGATTTGGTGTACTCAAAATGAACGGCTAAGCAAACCTTTCCTGTATTACTTAAATTGCGAGAGGTCCTGGCAGATATATCTTCTGCTCTGTTTGAGCTAAAAAAGCCCGGGTACGGAAGTAGCGTAGGCAGCCGCGTAGTGTGTAGGCCTTATTTGCAGCCGAAATTTTTGGTTCCTTTACGACTTCATGATCAGTAACATTACGGTTTAGGTTCGCCTTTGAGGTTTTAATTTGGCCGCTGTTTCATTGCGATTTTGGTTCAGAATTTTTGGTAAGTATGCAACACGCTATGGGGATTCTTGTCTGTAACAGCGAGCTTCGGAAAGATCGGAGCATCGCGTGAGTTTGGGGCAAAATGCGAATACTTGAAAAATGCTATTATGTTGGTCTTTTACAGTTTTACTTATAGTTCATACGTATTACTTGACTTTTCGAATCATCGCAACCGGATGTTGCCTGCGCCAACGTTTTCATAACAAACTATGTCATAGCAGTCAGTCAATCAACAGCAGAAAATGTCGTACAAGCGCTTCATAAAAAACACTTCGCACTAATTAAGCCCCATGCTTGCGCCTCGAATAAATATAAATTAAAAGATTAAGATGCAGAACTCACCGCCTCATAAAATAGATTACTGACGGAGAAGAAATAGGTTAATTAACTCGCAGCACATGAAACAGTAAGTATTGTTTGTTCTTAGGTTTAGCGGATTCCACGTCGATGGAACAGCCAGATCGTGGGTTGAAACTGATCTGAGGCTTGTGGATGTCTTCAAGCTGAGCAGAATGGCTGTGTTAGGAATCGAGGAGATATTTCGCGTTTAAAGAAAGGACGGCGTCAGCGAGCGCCTTTGCAATTTTTCAGCGCTAGCTAGCTCTCCATTGATTTTTTGAAATTTATAATTCCACTATATTGAAGCACAAATCATTGTGGCTATCAATTATCCGAAAACCATGTTAAAGGACTTTTTTCAGTTCCACTTCGCTGTTTATTTCGCTTCACTGTTCCCTGACTGCCCTAGCCGGTTCACCTGAAGATCAGCTGATGTAATTTGTTTTGCTGAATCTTATTTTTTTGATAGCCTTTTCCGGTGTTTCTCCGTTATCCGACGCGCAACGGTTACCCAATTGCAACTGGCCTCTATCATTACTGAAGCATTTATTTCAGAACACAGGCATTAGTTCTAAACGCTCACACGAATGTTTAACTCACCATTCCCGGCAAAGTACGACATACAAACAACAAAATTCATGATAAAGAATTCATGAAAAACAAACAACAAAATGTTACAGAAATGGCTCTATCAAATAAGAAGAAAATCACAGCCACGCCTTTACTGAGTGGGGAATCCATACAATGAGTGCGCTCAGGAGGATCTTGAGGATGATGCGGGCGAAGAATTCCGGGGACTCTGGTGGCTGGTGAGGAACTCGTTGACGAAGACCTGGTTGGCCGTGGTGTAGTCGTTGCTGCGCAGTTCCACGGCTTGTTCTCGTCCTCCCGCTCGATGGCGACGGTCTCGTTGGCCGGGGCGTCGGCCACGCGGAAGACGATCTTGTTGCCGTCGTAGCGGATGTTCCAACCAGCAGGTCGCGGCACACGTGCCGGAAACTCTGGATGGACTTCTTGAAGAAAGTCGTGTCCTGGTTACGCTGCTTTTCCGCTTTCTCCAACTGCTTCTTCAATTCTGAAAAATTCTGGATTTGAGTACGCACACTTGACCCGGTACTAAAAGGACTGAGCGCATCAAGCAATTATAAAAAAACGGGGCGACGACAACCTTAATAACTGCACCGTCCGTATCGACTACATTAAGTAATAAAAAACCAAACACTATTCTAAAACATAAGAATAGTTTAAAACATATTACAAATTGTTAGTAAAATTTATAATTATATCTCGTAACTTGTAAATCTTTATCTGGATCACCAACTCCTGCTGCCTCCTACGGCCATTTGGAACCCTTGCACTACGATACTTCATTGCTCATGGTAACCCTACTCCGTATTCTTCGCCGTATCGTTGGGAAAAAAAGCAACGCAACTACGCTAACACGGCGAAAAAATTTATCGTTGCTTTCATTTTGTAACGAAGAATAATAATCAGAAAATAGCGGATTTTTGAAGAGAAAACCTGTTTAATGACTCCCAAAAGAGCTAAAGAAAAACATAAAACGACCTTTTGGCGTTTGTTGCACCTTCAGCTGTTCCCCGGGACCGCGCAGGAACTCTTCGGCATTCACCGTTACATCCCTGTATCCGCCGCCCATCTTCACCTGGTTGAGTTTCTCCTGCAGCAGTTTGTTCTCCTCCAACACCTTCCCCGCCTCCGCCAAGAACTCCTTCTGCGCCGCTTCCAACGGACTCTCCCCGACCACCACGACCTCCGTCCGCGTGGGATCGTATTCCCGCGCAGCATCCGCAGCGTCCACTCGCCCAGCCGCTCCTCCAGCTCCTCCTTGACCGTCCGCAGTTCCTCATTCTCCTCCGTCAGCTTCTGCAGCTGTTCGTGCGCCCGCACCGTCTCCGCTTCATAGCGGCGCTGAGGTCCTCAAGGTGGTTTTAATTGGGATTCCGAAGAGGATGTCCGGTTGTACATCTGCTCAAAGTTGTCGGCCAGTGTTTGGCTGCGTGTGGCCCGCTCTTCCAGATCGCGCAGTTTCGCCATGATGGACGGATCACCGCGGCGGCTCGACGACTGGTCCATGGTTTCTTTAATCAGTTTAAAAGTATCGCGTTCCTGAAAAGTTATTGATAAATTTTACATTAACAATTTTTCTCCCTGTCATTTGTTGCCAGCGTTATCTCCAATACGAAATACTACTCCGTTGTCCGTTTTAAGATGCATTTGGTACGTATGCGTATTTTTGTTTCAAGTACGGTTATATTAATAGTAAAATTTAAAAAAAGAAAGCAAATTAAAAGGAAAAAATTAAAGAAAAATCAGTATCCAAACAGAAATATTCACCGCTTAAAGCAGCAGTTGATTAACTGCAACGCTTCTATGGTTAAAAAATTATGACCGTAAAAACCTTAAAAACGGCAAGTACCGTACAATACATTTGTTAATTCTTTCATTTATTTTACACAAATTTCTTACTGTCGAAACGGCAGCCAGCTTGTTTGACAAATCCTGCGCCCGGCTTTCCTGCATCTGCTTCGACTTCTCCGACAATTCCAGCTGGGATTTGACCTCCACAATTCGCTCTTCGAGATCACGACAACGGTCGGCCATTTCACCGATCCTACCAGGAAAATCCGCTGATATAATTAATTTAAACGAGAAATGTAGGCCAACAGCCAATGATTCTAATCGCATGTGGCGCTTTTTTCAGTAACTACAACTTACAAGTACATGTGGCATGAAAATGTACAGGATGTATATAATACAGTAATATGGTATAAACTATTTTATAACTCACTTTTGGTTCCGGCTGGCGACATCATCACCCAGCTTCTTCTCACGCAATTCCATCTCACCAATCCGATCCAGTAAGTGCTGAATGCCGCTATACACATGAAAACAATCGACATTCAACTCCAGTGTGTACCAACGAGAGAAAGCTTCTGTTTAAAAATTTAAACCACAACACGCCGTGATTGACAGCTGATTTTATCTGTACATCTATGCAGCTCAATGGATATGGCCGCTTGCGCAACTGCCATTGTTCCCTTCTCTGGCTCGCTCTCAGCCAGTTATCGCCACTGAATCGCCAGTGAGCCTCAAAACCGGCTTCCAAGTGAGAGATCAACGGCTTTAAAGTCGCTATGTATTGTACGGTTGTGCACGGCTGTGGTTAACGAAGCAGTAAGTACTACCAGTGAGTAATTAAAAGCATTTCTCACAATAAAGCTGCGATAATATTCATACTCGTATTAAAGCTGAATAATTATCAAGTATCAACCGATAGAAAAAAATACAATATAAAATAATATCATGAATTAGATAATCAAAAACGAAGCAAATTACTACCGACGTACCGCGGCTTTTTGGACGGGGACTGTGCCAAGTCAGCGGATTCAAACTCGTCAATCTGCGCCTTCAGCTGCTCGTTTTCCAACTCCAAATCGTAGAAACGGCACTGCCGTGTTTCGTAGCGTTTAATGGACTCCTCCAGGGTCTGGATTTTATCCTCGTTAGCACGGGCAAGTGCGGCTCGTTCTCTGTAAGTATATTAAAAGACAATAAACAATTCACAAAATACTACATAAAAACGCAATAAAAATCTGAATGAAATGACAACACTAAAAATAACTACTCGAGCAGTGATGAACAAATTAAGCAACAGCGAAATTCGCAAATATTCCGCTACGAAATAAAAGAAAAAATTCGCAAATATTCCGCTAAGAAAAGTGCTATATGTATCAACCTCAACTTCTGATTTTCCTTCTCCAGCAGCGGCACTTTAATCTGCAATTCACGGTACTGTTTCAGCTCTTCTGGCAAGTTGGCCAGCAGCGCATTAGCATTCGTCAGGTCGGCGATTTGCCCATCTTTTGCCTGCCAAAATCCCAAGGAATAAATATCCATAATGGCTGCGCATTTTGAAACATCATTTTAAAAAACAACAAACTGCTGAACTGTGTAATACGAAAACGGCGACAAATATTCCGGAATCGACAGCCACAACGCTACAACCACAGTACAAAGGAAAATCTGAAGTAGCAAATCCTCAGAATAGCACCATAAATTTCAACCAAATATAATTGAACAAAATACCTTCAAACATTTATAAGACAAGCCGTTAAAAATTTTTCCAACTTATTTAAAAAAACTTCGAAAATTATAGTTTCTCTGCTGAGAACAACAAATCTACAAAAAACTTAATTAAAATAACAATCTTCGGCAAATAAATTGCTCTCAGAGTACGAAACGCTAATACACTTATCGCCATTATTTAGAATTATGTAAGGATTAAAAATACAGACACTCGGCCGTGTTTTAACATTAATCCCAACATAATACAAGGTTAACGAAGATAAGTTAAACGCAAAAATTCAAAACTGGAATTTTACCTGCAGCTGTGCCGTGAGATTCTGGTTTTCCTTGCGCACTTCTCGCAGTTCGCTCACTAACGGATTCAATTTGTCCAGTTTGGTTTTCAGGAGATGATTTTCCTCCACAGCGACATGGCGCTCTCTTGATGCACTATACGACAAAAATTAATCAATACTAATCATTCCGTAAAACGTCGTCAGAGTGATAGAACCGTACGGCTTAATAACATGAGGGATTAAAGCAAGAAATAAAAAAAAGAAACAGCAGGCAAGAACATGAGGATAAATACGAGCTTTCAAAAAATCGAAAAAAAATATTCTCACACAACAATCTCTCACAGAAAATCTGCGGCACGCGAGTTAATTTTAGTTAGCTCATATTTTCTTGTTATTTCATTAAACAATTATCCAGCGTAAGATTTATTTCGCATTATAAAAAAATCATAGAAAAGTCAATTCAGCAATAAATTATCTGAACATTTGGCAGCATTCGACGAACTCAAGACGAATAAGTCCACTTACGTCTTGAAACGCTCGTTGAGCAGCAGATTCTCACTGCGCGCTTCCCGCAAATCCCGGTCGAGTTGCTGCGTGCGCGTCATATGCTCCATTTTGATGTGGGCAATCTGCTCTTCGTACTGCTTCCGCATGGCGATTCCCTCCGTTTCCGCCTTGTCCATCTTCTCGCGCAGGCGGTCGTTCTCCTGCAGAATCTTCTCCGCCTGCGACCACATTTCCCCGGCTTTGGCCATGGCAGCCTGCCAAGAAAAAATGAGTTTCATTTAAATACTTCTATGCACAGAAATCGCCATATTAAAACTGCAGTACTCGCTCACATTATTCCTACGTTTAAACATAATTTAAATTCTGAATTATTTTCCAAAACACGTATTTTCAATTTTCTGACAAATATCGCACATTTCAGCGTTGTTGCATAATTCGTAAAACAGATTTTATGTGTAGAAAAAAAGAACTAATTTATCGCCAAAATTCATTCACAACCTCTTGCCACAGTTCCAGATACTGTACTTCATTCGTGAAAAATCGTCTGTTAATCGCACAACTGGCATTTTACAAAAATGCTCAAAAAAATGAAAACGTTTTCTTGAGTTAATGCAAGAGAAATAAATATCGGATGAAAATTTTGTTGGAAAATAATGCTAAATAAACACAAAACCACGATACTGCAACTCACGTCTTCGTCTTGCTTGTGTTTGCGCAGTTTCTCCTCCGTCCGCAATCGTTCCAAACTGACTTCTTCCTTCAATAAATCGCGCTCGAATGTAACACGAGTGATTTCCTTCTCCAGCTTAATCAAATCCGTGGTTTTTCCAGGCGAGAGCGACGAATTCAGGCTCAATTCGCCACTAGAATCCAGTCGTCGTTTCTTCGTTGTAGAATCGACTACAAAGAGCGACTGCCTTGCAGAATTTTAATCCATAAACTAGGCATTAAATATCACTTTAAATTAAAATTGTCACAAAAAAATAATCAGCACTATAAAATAAAAATTAAGCGTTTCAAAACTGACGGAAATTGTACTCTGCGCAGAGAATAAAAATCAATCAAAAAATCAAAACACGCAAAGAACGCTGCAAACAGATTCTGAGAGTTCCTCACCATTTTCACCTCGCAGATTCTCATCCCCACTCTTCCCTCGCCAATGGGCGCCCCATCCAGCCTGCGAAACGTGGCCAACACTCGTTCGGGGATTTAACTGCGGACTTCTTGCGCAGCGTCTCGCGCAGGCTCCCCGCCTGCCTCGTTGGCGGGGGTCTCCTGCGCCGTTTTCCGCTGCTCGCCCTTCCCATTCTCCACACTCTCCGCGTTGAACGTCAGACGGCCGCGGGGCTGGTTGAAATTGGGATTAACAGTCGGGGGACGCACCCCGCGCCGTTTCTCCCCCGGGCGCAGCGGGGTGCTGGCGCTGATTAACGAGGGACGAGCGGCCCCGGGGCGCTGACTGCCAGGGGCAGCAGCGGAGGGAAAAGAATACTCGCGGGTGGGCCGCGGCGGAGGATGGGAGGACAAGGGAGGATAGGATGCGGTGATCAAGCTGGAAGGGGGACGGCGATGAGATAGGGGATTTTCGGAGGAAGACATCGTAAAAATTATTCCGCAGAATGAATGAAATTCGTACTACACTCCACACACTACACTAATTACGGATAAATAATAATCAGCCACACTCTGCACTTTGCAGCTTTTGGTTAGCGAATGATCGATGACGATAGAACCGCTGCTGCCGAACAAGGCGGTTGCAGTTGCGCTGTTGATCAGAGTCGCCGGTTTCAAGGACAAAGACAACGCTCCTTCTTTTATGATTTGTACATTATTACGAGCACAACATAATCCTGACGGAACCCGCCGTAGGTCTGGTAGTCAAAAAACCAAAGATTCCAGATTGCCACTGCGACGCGAAGAGTTGAAAACGGGTTTGTAGCTGATGCAGCGTGCTTCACTTTGGACCAGTGAAGATGCACGGGATATACATACGTTACAATTCTATGTGGTAATAATCCGAATATTCTCCGATGGGTATGGCGCAAATTCAGTGCGATCGGTCACGATAAAGATCAATCAGAAATCAAAATTATTTTTTATTTGTTGTACCTATCAGGCACTTGCAGCGTACACAATCTGACAGAATGCGCTAAGCCGGCATTCAGTACGCGCAGTTGCAACAGGTATGAACACGACAACTGCCAGTGAACCCACGTGTGTGCATTCTCACTTTCCGTTTCCCGTCTACTTTCCGAGAATGCGATTTGCATATCGGCGTGAGCTGGGTAGACACGGTTGCTGTACATGTCTGCGCCGGACCGTCGCTCGTACGTTCAGCAAGATCCCAGTGAACACGATTGCAGCTTCTCCATTAATGGCGGCTGGCGAGTGCACGATACTGTGTTGCTGGACATACATGCAACTGTAACAACTAGAGCAAATTAACAATCAATTACAACAGAATCTACAAAGCAACATCGTGCACTCGCCAAATACTGGATGTTCGTACAATGCAGCCGACAACAGTGTAGACTGAGATCTCACTGAACGTTTGCCTGTTGTACTTTGCGGCATGCGGAGATGCTGCTGTCTACCTGGCTCACACCGATAGCGTTTGGAGCGAATTCTCGGAAAAGTAGGCCGGAAGACGAAAGTGAAGATGCTCGTACGTGAGTTTGCTGGCAATCGTGCAGATGCCGGCTGCAGCTGCGCGCACGTACTACATACATACGTACATACCGGCTGGTACAATTTAAACCGTCTGTATGCACTGACTATTGCGACATTTGAATCTCATTAAAACCCTACCCTACTCTAATTTCGATACAAATTAATTAGAACTTCTGAATTCTTTAACCTTACTTTGTCGAGAGTTGCGAACCCCGCGTGGAGAAAACTACAAACAAGTAAGTTGATTGTGCAGTTACGTTACTTTGTGATTTCATAATTCAGTTGAGTCCGTAAGATGTTGTTCAAAGAATAGGCTGTAGACAATTTAATTTTTTTAAAAACCAACTCACTTAAAAAAATGCACCGTATTTACACAAGTGTAAGAGCCACCAGAACGCCGTAATGCGCGCAAAACCCTACTTAGCTAGTACTATATATTGTTTACGGCTTAACTTACAACCACGTACTCTGTTCTTTTCTGTGTTATTGGTTTTTAATGTATATAATTATGTCAGTACGTTATGTAAGACTCAAGGTACTTGTACATGCACAGCTGATTTTACCATTAATAATCCGAAAATTTTTGAAAAGGCAAAACATTAGTACTTGTATATTATAGGTAAAACCGTAAAGTGCACGCTGCCAGTGCGAAAAAACTACTGTAGTTAAAAAATTAGAAAACAGCCAACAGGGATATAGAACAAAAATAAACAGGGACAATAAGCATTAATAAAGTTCCATTAATTTATGTACGTATATAAGTTACATTAATTTATATAAGTTATTAAGTCAGATTTATTTCTGTTTATATGTCAGTAATTTTGTAATAGAAATTAATTAATGTGTAATTGGGTATTCATTTAATTGGAATTTAAAAGTATTATTGAATCATAGCTACTCGTACGGTCGCACAAGTGGTTAGCTGTAGTAAGTGAATGGGAGATGGTCGTTCAAGTTGACAATCTTAAATTAAAACTTCCACTATCCGATTTTCGTCCTGTTTTCTTTTCTTTACATGATTAAGTATGTCGCATCCGCTGCAGAGTATACTTGAAATTTTTGAAAAATCTTGAACCGTTTTCTTGCAGTTGTGACGTTAAAAATACAGTGACGAAACACTTTAGCCAAGCCACCCGAGCCACTGTACTACACCGTACAATTATTGCAGCCACCGTAGCACATATTGTGCGATCGACTGCGATGTCGCTGTGTAAACGTGTAAGTCACACGTGTACATCAAAGCTGAATAATCTTAGCGACCAATCATCAAGAAATAATTAAGCAATTCAAATTAAATTTTAATTTAACTGGATTATATTGCGCAGCCGCACATGTGTGGTGATGACTGCAAAAATCATGGTCTGTTGTATTGTATATACTGGAGCTCAGTGCACACGTTAATAAAAGGAATAAAGTAGTATCATAAAATTATTTGGGCTTAATGAAGCAGTAATTCAAAAACAGCCCACGATACTTGTACCGCTACTCTACGCTCTGAGAGATTGCCGTAGTTATAACTGCCATTACTACTCTTTATAAAGTCGGCGTAAGAGCAACATCGTAGTACATGGGCACATCGCGTCCTTCAGTGGCGCAACTGGTGTGGTTTTTTCGGCTTTGCTTTGAAATACAACCATCTGTTTTTACAGACCAATTAGTTAAAGAAATTGATAGCAATAACTAAGTATATTTTTTAATTAATTAACTTATAAATTTAGGGTTAATTGTATTGGTTTTATAAATTTACTTTACACATAGTTTTAAGTCATTATTTAGTACTGTAATTACTTTTTGACGAGTAATAAATAAAATAAATCCCTTTATAAAATTAGTTGAGTACGTGAGAAAAAACTAAACAAACTAAAGGGAAGGGAAGTCAGAGCACTGTAGGCGGAAAGCTTTCCGTTGACGTCACAGCGGTCTAAAGTTGACATTTAACTTTGTTGTCATATCAACATAAAGCGGAACCATTACCGGAAGTTCAAAATTAAGGACATTATTGTAGAAATATCGAAAACTGTTCTGATGAAGCTTCTGATTTTTGCAGCAATGTCAGCGTCGAAAAGCCAAAAACCTGAAAAGCGTTTCCATTTCGGAATGCTGGTGGTGCAGGATCAGAGCGAGTGCCACGGTTGTGAGTACTGAGAAAATTAACAGCGCAATTTTTAAAATGATTTCCGACCAAATGTTTGTTATACGCAGGTAACGCAACTATCGTTAGAATAAATAGTGTTCATATACAGTAACTTTTGACTCCTAATACCACTCTTGCAAAACCACGTCGTTTCCGCTGCCCTCCGCATAACAAAATTTAAACGATAATATTTCATAGATTATTGCAGTATATTGTAGAAAGCTGCTATTATATATTTTAAAAAGTATATCATATACATATATTATATAAACAAATCATTTTGATATCCAAGATATTATTGTATAAGAACTAGTAGCGAGACAACTGACAAACAAATAAATGCGGAGAAAAAACTGGTGTAGCAAAGGTAGTATTAAAGTTAAAGGTGGTAAAACTGTGGTACTAAGACTAATTGTAAGAGCAACATCAACGGTGGTACAAAGGTGGTATGTAAAGCCTTCACCTTAATTTTAACGTGTCGCAGCATGAGCTATAAAATTACAGCTGCATTTGTCATCGCTGCAGGCGCAGCTGCGGTTTCTCATTCGTAAAGTTTTGTTTCGTTTAGTGCATATGAACGAGCATCTGACTGCGCTGATGCGGGAAAAAGGGATGAAGGGTGAACGGAAAACTGTAACGGACGCTACTGCGCAACGGAAGACGCTGTTTGTCCTCTTTGGTCATCGGGTCAAAGAGCAAGTCAAAGCGTTCGAGGAAGAGCTGGTGAAATTGTAAGAGCTTGCTGTATAAACTCTACAGGCCATAAGCGTTAAGGCGTGACATAATATTGTTAATTCATTTTCTTTTATTATTACTTCATAATTAAGGATTTTCTATAATTTATGTTTAATAACCACTTTATTCAAATTCTTTCGTTTCTGATTGTGACAGTTTCGATGGGAAGTGATTTTGCACAGGTCACTTCCATTCATTCCTCAGATTTCATACCCGGCGTTGCACGCGTAAAGTCGTATCATCAATGTTTGGACGTGTTTTTACGTCGTCGAAAATGCTGATCACGCTTAGCTTTAACGAGTGTCGTAATAAGAACGTGTTCTGCCTACAGCTTGGTTGGTACACCAGGAGAAGGACATCACAGTTTTGACACCGAAATTGTGCATGGAAAAAGTACGGAAGAGTACATTGATTATGATGCTAACAAAAAGAAAGCGCTTCCTCGCTACAATGAGGAGCGTCTGGAAAAGATAATGAATATCTTCGAAAAAATGGAAAAAGCCGCGGAGGAGAAAGCGAAAAAAACCGGGAACGAAGGGAAGAAGCCGCGAACGATCGAGATGTCCACCATCTGGGTTGGAGAAGTATGTTACTGCTTTGTGTTAGTAGTACAATGCAACCAATTTGCAGTAGTGAACAACTTTTACGTGCGTATACGTGTTTACTGCTATTGTTGTTGAATGTCCACTTACTCCGCTATACAGGCTTCACGCTCGTGTAACGACTGTATCATTGGGAAATAATTGAAGCCGCTAGCTCAACTTGATTTACTTTGTTTCCCTTTTTTTAGATCGAAACGGATCAGTCGGCCGGTGGTGTGTTGGATCACTCGTCGAAGGAAGGACGATCGAAACCCCCAAAGAACACACACCCGACAGCCTATTTTGGACAGGAGAAATACTAGAGTTTGCACGAGAAAAAGAGTGTGCTGCGTTAAGATTATTAGCTCTTAGTACTTATGTTAGCGATGTTCTCGGCGTTAATAAAAGTGCAAATACGTAGTACATACTGTTGAGGAAAGCGTCTAAACAAGGTATTTAGGTTATGCGACGACATTAACAGTTACCCAACTGCTTAAAATTAAGTTGGAAGTTACAGGTAGACAAGAAAATTTACGTTCCTTTGGTCACGTAGCGGCCTCGCGCAGTACGTAATGAACAGTCAAAACAAAGCTACATCTCCATGACCTAATCAATCTTTTATGTTCGGCGGCATTTCAGTTTTTGGATGTTTACAACGGGTTACAATCTTGCTGGTTATAAGTTTAAAAACCTTTTCCCTGTTTGACATTGGGTGGGTTAACACGCTCTTTAAACACAGCAAAGCCAACAAATTGTTAAAGCAGATTACGTAGTTGGTATTTCTTTCCTCATCAATTTTTCGTAAAATTCTGACTAGTTTTATAATGTACTGTACGTTTGCGTGGTTTAATAAACAACTTGTTATTCGAAAGCAGATTTATGAAACAGGCCGCCGTATTAGCGTCCCGACTGCAAGAAGATGAAGAGCTGATAACCTGATTAGTAAAACTTTTTACCGGTTATGCCGTGCCATTTTATCCTGCAAATGACTGCAATCACCAATTATTAGCCTGATCCGCTGTTTTCAGGCTTTCACAATCTTTTTCATTTCGACATAAAGAAAAATTAATAGGAGTGGATGAGCTGCAATCCTTACAAAGTGTCAAATTTACTGAACCGCACAGACTGCAGTACGCTCGAGGGGTTCGAAAGTTAACGAACTTATGCTTTCAGCAAAAACAGGAAGCTGAAATTATGCACATACTTCAATTATGCAATTCATTAAGCACACTTTCAAGTGTTGGTAGTAGCTAACTGAGCATGTCATCTGAAATAAGAGACACCTAGGTACAGTACAGATCTGTAGTTGGTCAGATCCGCGCCATGGCCTTACATTCCCGCAAAATTAGTCGTCAACTGCATCAGCAACACAGCAAAATTCGCCGATAATGCAAGGCAGTAGCAAGACCAGTGTCTGCATAATACAGCTTTTCGGGGAAAACCTTCGGCATATGTCGGCTATGACCTCATCACAGTGCTTTGGCGGTTTTTCATCCCAGCTGTAAAACAAATCCGGTTTTTTATGTGGACCATTCGTGCAGAAGTTTGATGCTTCACTGCTTACAGTTTATAAGACAATGTAATATACGGCCAAATGCAGCATCTTGGTGTACATGATTCGCTTGTCAAAGAATTTAACCAAAGGACAAGATTTTCGATCTTAGGTCCTTCGAGTACTGGGCAGTGGTCTTCCAGCGCAGACCGGAAGGATGCTTCGAATGTGCTTGTCACTGTTTCTGTAAACCTGTAGCACCACCTGGGAATGACAATAAAGAATGGATCATGGCAACACCTTAAATGCCACCGTCCAGGACCTATGACCTGATCTGACCACCCATTTTCTAACGACAGTACTTTCCTGAAGCATAGCGACAGCCTGCTATCGAAGCAGCAATTCTTTAGTACAAGATGCCGGCAAATGGAAGCATAATGCGTATAATTTGGTGCCGAATGTGGACAGAGATGATTTCCATGCAGAGTAATGAAGTCATATGTAAGTAACATCGGGGATCGCTTGGGAAATGGCAAGAATTCGTTGAGTGCAAGTGTGAAGTTGTTGGCGATGACCAGCCAGCTCAGTTTCACGTGCATGGCTATCAGTACTTGCGCAAGGGTGAACAAACTTTCTTCCCAGTCTTCGGCGAAATATAAAATTTTGGCATCTTGGCTGATAGTGTTCCCGACAATGTGAGCCAGGTTCCGGTAGTCAGATCCGGATGGGCTAACCCCCAGGGTTTCAATGGCATGCTTATGTAGGTTTGGCAGTATTACGCACTGCCGGAGTGATTTGCGTGACAGGCGGCGATGAAATGATTTGCATGTTCTAAAATAAAATCTTCATTTAAATTGTCAAAGAAACCAAGAACAATTGGACATTTCATTGCTTCGGTCAGCGTAGTATAATTAAAATGCATAAAAAACCTTTAGACGTCCGTATCTGGCAAGTCACTTGGGAGACGCGGCCACTGCACAACTTCAGCATTATGCAAAAATCAAAGGCAGCGACCACTGCATTGACTTTTTCCTGTTTTCTGTTTTTGACACTAGATGTTTTTATGGAACTTGCTGCATCTGTTTCTTTCCGCTAATTACCTCGTTGCTGTTATTAGTGTTTGAACAGTACAGTTTGCATCACATCTGCCGTAATTATACCTGGTGATCTTTTAGCGTGAAACAGGAGTGGAACTAATAATTTAACAGTTTCGTTCATGGTCTTAATTATTATCTGCTGACTGAAGCCGGAGCGGTTTTAAGAAAGGATATTCAGTTTTGGTGTTCCGAAGACAAAACTAATGGAAAGTTCCGTACGGTGAATAATATCGCCGCACCCAGGAGTCAAAGTCCCAGACGATTCCAGAACCAGTTTGTCGTTCAGTTTTTTACCGTTCCATTAGACGCATTCGATTGACCACAGTTCAACCCTAACTCACTCCTTCACACTCGCCTCTTTAAGCGGCACCCATGGCCATTAGCAAACCGGCATGCAATTCCTGGTCTCCTAAAAACCGTAACTTTACCTGCGGAGTTGATTTTGGTCATAAACATCAAGAAAAGAAAATACTTCCATGCTGAGTTCAGTTAGTAACTCTTCAAAATGGAACTCGTGAGGATCGCGCAAGTCTGAAACAGAAAAATAGATTGCGCATTCTGAAATACCGATGCATATTGTACTACTTCTAGTGATTAGTGATTACCTTGTATCACAATCGGCAAAATTATAACTTCAAGCAATATCTGGTTTTGCTGTAGAATCGCCAGGCCAGTAGGCCAACCGACCAAGAATTTACGTAACTTTAGAGCAGCTAGCAAATTAGCAAACGTTAATGATGTTTTATCAATAGTACTGCGCCGGACATGCACATATGCGCATGGAAGGTTTGGTTTAAAATTTGATTACAAAATTTTCTTATACACTGTTTGGATTTTAGACAATAGTGTGCGCTACACTGCCAGTGTAGAAAACACGTGTTGAGGTTCATGATCGACCGGAGCGTAGCGAAGGTCCTCTATATTCAAGACCAATGCATTGGTTGATTTCTGTCCGTTACGGAAACCCGTTACGGAAGTTTGTTACGGAAGTTCGTTACGGAAGTGCGTTACGGAATTTTGTTACGGAAGTAAGTTTGATGTTCACTCAGCTGACCGCTATGACGTCATCACAGCCAGTGTCAAACTGCCTGTAACGTCATGCAGACCGCCGTGACACAGCGGGTCTGTGTAGCGGTACTGCAGCTCTTGATTTCTTCCCGTTACGGAAGTAATGCTATGGTATCACCACAATTTAACCACTATGACGCTACTGCTAAATGCTGATTTGTAGCGACACATAAAAAAGTGCCACAGTTTTGATTTCTGTCTTTTACGTAAATAATACATGACGTTCGGTACATATACGCGCATACATCTCCGTAACGTGATGCACATGAGGGATGGGATCAGCAATAATTATCCACCACCTTAAATTTCCCTCTGGGATACTTTTCTGGTCCTCTTTCCCACAGTCACTAGAATAATAACCCTTTGATCGTAAAGGTGCCCTTGGCGGCACTAATCACCGACACGGGTTTTTAATACCCGGTTTTTAAAATAAATTTTTTAATTTTCATAAACCGCTACGGGGGTTACGAAAGGGCGTACGTTTCGAAGCTCAAAACTTGTGGTGGGAAAACGGCGGCAAGTTTACATGGAGACAATATTGCCGAGACGGAGGCAATTCTGCAGGTTATGCACGCCAAAGCACTGGCGTTAAGAATTCTCTCTGACATCGATATGTGGTCGGAAATACAACCCATATCCGGCCATTATTGCCCGTCACTCATGTGCATTATGCAAATGCATGGGTTGTATTTGCACCTTGAACGGTCTGCGTTACTTACGTACTTCAGTAACGGACAAAAATCAAAATGCTATAATTGTTGTCGAGGCCCGCAATAAAATTGCAAAAAGTGGGGACATTTTCTCTGATAAATTTGATAATGTCATAGCGACATAGATTTGATAATGTCATAGCGATAATTCTGTAACCGACAGAATGAAATCAAGAGCTGCAACTGCAATACCGTTGAATTGGGCCATTATACAGTACTAAGGTCGCCCGGTACGGCCTGCGATTAACCTTGCGAATGTGAAGTCCCATAACTGAACTTGTGTCCCGTTAATTACTACAGCCTCATTGAAATTTTTTGAAACTTTATAATCTTTTAGAAACGTTAAAGGTCGCATATCGGTTTTATACATCGTTCCGTAAATTCGCGGCTTTTCCAACCAATTAGCTAAAACGCATGAACACTAGCTCGTTCACTCCCCTATCTCCACAATTGCCTGATACAAGTGAATAACCCATGGAACTTTACTTAATACTGTAAATTATGTTCTTCTTGACTACTCCTTTCAAGCCAAACTTGTTAATTAAATGCAGTTTCCAACAAATTTAGAAGGTAGCGTTGCGAGAAAAAGGTAGCCTTGCAGCACGTTTTTCACTATTCTCGTACATAGTTTTGTATAATATGCGCTTTTCGTTATTCCACAATGTACTACATCCTGTGCGAACCAATACCGCCAAAGTAGCGGAAATTTTGCTAAGTCTCGCTCCGGTCTGCCAATGCACGCCAAGGTGCATTTTTCTAGTACTTTCATATATACTGCAGATTCAGTTCAAGGTTTCTAATTTTACCTAGATCAACAACGATTCTGGTGATAAGTTCTTTCAGAACGGTGTCAGCAATTTGTGCTGTTGCCTGGGTAAATTTCCCCACGAACTGATCCACAGTAGACGCTATGACTTTAGCAATGTTAATTCCATAAACTGTTAATGTATGATTATATTCCTCTTGGACTAATACAGCAATGTGATAATCCGTGGCACTCAGAAATGCAATTCCACAATTTTTCTGCATAAAACGACTGCGAAAACGTGGCATTCCTTGTACTTTGTGCAGAGTATCTGCAAAGTGGTTGCAATACTGTTTGATCTCGGATAGAGCGACCTCCTGATAAATAAACGACTGTGGCGTAAAAGGTTCCCCTAGATTACCCCGCGGGCGAATCCGTCTGAAAGGGGCACCAAAAGAATCAAGAACATAATACTGCCTGAATACATCACCCGGCAGGCTCGCTTCTATATATAACAACGAGAAATCATGTATCGATGAGCCACTAATGATGCGAGCTGGCTGCCACGATTCCGGCTGATTGTCTTCCACACTGATAAGAACGTCAATCTCCTCCGGTGTAGTTTGAGGGTTCAGGCATCGGCGTTCACTATAATCCGCTAAATGCAATTTATCCATAGGGATGCGCCGTAGTTGCTGCATGGAACCCACTCGCACCATGCAGTGATCCTTCTCGACTGCACAAACGTACCCGCGAAACGTGGCATCCGCATCCAGAAAATCGACAACAAAGCGATCATAGACGCCTGTGATAAGGGGAGCTCTGCTAATCCGAGCCGACAAAAAATTTTCCATCTTATAGTTTGTGTGGAAGAAACTTCAGCGTACTTTCCCAAGAAGTGATGCGTGCGTGTTGGTTAACTTTGATGGCCGCCTTAGAACAGCATTTTGGGACTGACAGACGCACTTTAATTGTTGTACCTTGTCCTTTTTACATTGTCCGAAAATTCGACAAGAGTGGCATGGTGAAATTTGTTAACACACAAGGTTATATGCGTTTCGTCAACTTTGTTCAACTAAACTATACCGGAACACTGGGGAGATTAAAAGGAATTTGCGATCCTGTCGATCCGCCAGTACCGCTGCAGTATTTGTGCCTCTTTCATACTGGTAGACTAGTATCAAGCACAGAAAGTTTGAAACAGAATAAATCAATAAGAGTACTGTACATACCATGCTCAACCAATACATGCATCACGCTCTTGTGCGGTTGTCTCTGTCTTGCCACCGTGTCAAATCAAAAGCGCGGCACCACCCGCGCCGGTATTGATCTGGCTGCTATGTCGCACATTAAGTACCAGTACAGTAATGACCCATAAGGTACATTAATAAACAGTATAATCTGGAATGCACTGCACTTTGGAGCGGACACATCTGGTGAAGCAAAGCACCGCGTTGCTCCTTGGAAGTTGAGGTATCACTCTCATCGGCATTTTCTGTTTATGCAGTAAGTTGAATACTACCCCGGGAAGTGATCGCCATTGACTGTTAACTGCCCAGTCATGTACATCTTAATGTACTGCATAAATTCCTAATTCCTTCCTTACGATACAGCTTTTATACGTGCGCGTATCGACAGGTGTACAGAGTAGCATGAATTTTTTGCATATGCCCTTTTCCCTGGATGAATGAAGCACAATTGCACGTGCACTCCAATGTTAGTTTCCAACGCACCGACAGCATCGCAACGCCATTTTCATATTTTTGATCTGACAGTGTTTGTCATGTGCAGTCTGTTACAGCACATTTGCACAGCAGGTGCGCCATTCATCGGTTTCAAACACTAGTACATCAAATTTGTTTGCGAAAGCGTTTACGATAACTCTGGAATGATATGACTAAAGGAATATTCAAAATTACTGTGTGCCTGCTACTCCTTGAAGGATGTTACGTACAGTATTAGGCGGCAAAGAACAAGATTTGCCAACACGCATACACTGTTTGCCGGGAAGCTGCAAGCTCACGATTACACAAATTACCCACGAAAAACACTTTCCGCGCGAGAGACAAGATTGAAAATTTTTCGTCAGTGCGGATTAGCAGAGATCCCGTTATCGCAGCGGTCTGTGGACGATTTATTGTTGATGTTCTGGATGAGAACGCAGCTTATCGTGGGTACGTTTGCGCAGCTGATAATGATCATTGTATGGTGCGAATTGGTTCCATGCAGCAACTACGACGCCTCCCGATGGATAAATTGCGCCGCACGAATTGGTTTCAATCTCTAAGCTTGGACATTCCGACATTGACGATGTACTGGAAGACATTGACGTCCTTGTCAGTGTGGAAGAGAATCAGCCCGAGTTGTGGCAGCCAGCTTGCATCATTGACGACACATTTATGGACGCGTTTTCGTTCCTAAATGTGGAAGTGAAGCTGCCGGAAAATGTGGTTAAATGTTATTATGTTCTGGACTCCTCTGGTGCCGCTCTCAAGCGAGTAAGGCGCCGGGGTTATCTTGGGGATCCCGTTATGCCACAGTCGTTTGTCAATCGTGAGATACCGGATTCAGAGTTTTCTCCGTATTGTAACGACTTCGTTGATACTATGCGGAAAGCACGACAAATGCCACGTTTTCGCAGTCGCTTAATGCAGGAAATTTGTGGAATTATGTTTATGGATGCAACGGATGATCACGTTGCTGTGTTAGCAGAAAAGGAATTGAGTCAAACGTTAACGGATTCTGAAGTTAAGCAAATGTATTCAAACGCGTAAGTCCGCTGTGGATAATTTTATTAGAAAATTTACCCTTGCAACAGAAACAATTTCTCGCACCGTTCTGAACGAACTTATCACACGAATCGTTGCTGGTCTAGGTAATGTTAGTAATCAAGTTAAACTGCACTTTGAAGACCAAAACATTTTACGCTCGCGAGTCAATTAGTAAGATTATCTATCTATAGTCCGCGGCTACGTAAATGTTAATTCCGGTGTTCGTATTTAACCTCAAAAAGCGGAACCTGTGGCACACAGCTTTGTGATTGACCTGCTGAGGACGAAACTTTAACTTTACGGATAAGTTCAATCTGCATTCATTGCAGCCGATGGATGAAATTTCTTTCAGATCTTGTGGAGAAACCGTTGCTTTCAGATCTAACCACTTCCAGATCCGGCCACTGCCTGCCCCCTGCCGGGCATCGCACATATATTGCTCATAAACATCCATAAAAGGAAACACTTCCATGATCACCTCCGTAAATAGATCTTCACAAAGGAATTCTTTTGAACAGCGTTAGTCTGAAACATTACAATACAGTGAGGATTCTGAAATTGTAATAAATCACAATAAGAGAGCTTAGAGAGGATTCTGAACTTGAGATCTAGGCAAGATACGTGGTTCGGTCGGGCGATAAAATTTCTAAACCGTCGCACATTTTGATCAAACACAAAACTATCTGTAGGTCAGCCAGTAGCAGATGTACGCCCATGCGTATGAAAAATTTGGTTTGAGCTTGAAATACAAAATTTCGCGCTAAAAATTTAATATATATAGTGATAATCCGTGACGGAGCCACGTTATTGCTCACCGCTGTTGTTAGCCGCAAAGGTCATACTCTCCTTCCTTTAAGTCAATTGCCAAAACATGTATGTCGGATTATTTTGCCCTTGCCGTGTAGAAAATACAAAACGGACAGTGAAGTGATCATTAAGCCGATGGCAGGCGTGTTTCTGTTACAGTTCTTTTGGCCGACAAACGTAAGCTTTTTTTGCTTACTGTAATTACGTCACGAAAACAACGAACAGAAAAATCCTCTGGACCGCCAGCGCTAGACATCGGCCTTTGTGGTGTCAAAGGATCTGACGCCTAGCACGGGTGATTGAGGGATTTCTCTGGTTGTTAATTTTGAATAAATACAGTACTTTACAAATTCAGATTTTTATTTGTGCTGTTAACATTACCTAGATTATAGATACAGTGACATCTTTGCGACTGCAAACAAAATAATGTGATCAGCACAAGGTTTATTTCATTTTCGGAATACGGAAGGGCAGAGCAAGAGACAATGTGCACAGCTGACGTAGTCAAAGTCGTTTATAGTCACAAGAATGGCGCGCGTCAATCGACAAAAATACGTATCTAAAGCAGATAAATCAGTTGAGCACTGTGCGAAACATCTACACTTGAGAGCTATGCAGTACCGCCTCTTACAGTACTGATCTTAAGCAATAATTCCGAGTAAGGTTCTTGCAACCGGGGTAATTTTGGTTACTTCAGTTCAAGTACGGTACAGCTAACTGCAACTTTTTTTTGTGCAGCAAGACGCTGAACATCAACTGGAACGCAGCCAACTGCCGTTTTGACAAAGAGATTGGGAAGACTAACTCATCTGATTACTACCTCGCGGATTATGAAAGTGGAGAATTTCGACAAATGTTCGGGGTCGAAAAAGTGAAGGAAATCAAGAACAACTGGCAAGCCATCATTACCGCAGCCACCGATAAGAAAGAAAAGATCGACGATCATGACGTTTGGTGGCCGGAAAACATAACTCAATATCAAGTGTTAAAATATTTCAATATCAAACACAGATATAAGCATAAGCGATTTGTTTGCAATAGGTCGTGGGGGAAGACAAATTCGGCGCGGAAGATTTGCATCATGACTTTAATCTGACGATCTCTCCGGGTCAGGAGCCGAATACTGGCGGTAGCAGCCACAAAGATGCCCGATTTCTCCGCCCAACGGTAGGCACCCGCAAATCACGATCCCCGTCTCCGTTGAAAAAGAAATGAATCGGTAAGTTTTAACAAATGGTATTCGATGTCATTTGGCGCGGATGTTTTTGGTAGGTTTTAGCGCGGTGCGGTTTTGGTTTCTAATGCGGCGCACGTTTGTTGTAACCGTAATTATGTAGAATAATATATATAAATTGGGTACTAGTACATAGTTTGATAGTTTAGTTCTAATCGGCGCTTTGATACTGCGATGACCTGGTAGCTGGCATTGCTCGAATTTGTGCTGTGGGTTTTACTGAGTATTTGACGCTAGTCGTTTTTAGTAATTCGTGCACCGCCAAATGAATTTTGTTTGCTTAATAATTTTTTGTTTTTCATAGATTTGTAAGATTTTCCAGTGGTGACGGATTTTCCAGTGGTGATTTTCCTTATGGATGCTTAATAAATTCGTAATAAAAATTCTGAATTCTTCCAACGTGTTGCCAGAGGCGATTACGGTAGCGTTTTGTGTCTCTGACTTCGATTCACCACATATGTACAATTTAGGCAAGCTAAAACTACAACCGAATAAATCATTTCAGGTGATGGACATGCTTTTTTTCATTATGTACTACAAGAAACCGTACGTTTACGCTGGAAGGTCAATATTAAAAGTAACTTCATCGCCATGAATCATACTACTAAAGATACTCGTGCGGCACTAATCATAGCGATTTTGGTTGAACGGTATTGTTTTATCGTTGCTTTCATGTAAGCGGGCTTGAACCAAGGAACCTCGGCCAAAACTCAAGCTGGGCGTGCGAAAGTGATGGTCCAAGGCAATGAAAGGCCGCAAAAGCATTTGACAATGCACCATGCTGCATTCTTATTAGATTCACAGAAACACCGGACAGTTATCTCTTAAATAACGTATTATTTGAATAAATCTCCAATAGTCTAGTTACCGGAAATTGTTACGACGTCTAAATGCACGTGTACTTAGAACAACGATGCTTGGCGATCGACAGTACAAAGCTGCAGTAAGCAGTAGGTAAGAGTAAGTAGGTAATAGTATAAGTAAATGTGTAATACAAATCGCATCTGTACACAGCACAAGCTGTTTCATGAATAAATCTGATTGATTTTATTAGAAGCTGTTTTGCGTACTTTACCTTATAACCCGACTAAACATTGAAATTTTCGTTGTTTTCTTAATATTTGAGTTTAAATTTCAAGTAGTGTGCCAGCGTCTGCAGATATTGTTATTTTGGTGGCCACTGCCTATTAAAATACTGCATAATTTAATTTGGGCTGTATTAAAATTTAATTTACGCTGTTTGCGTTACTTGGTGTTTCTGCACTGTACAAGTACTTATCGTTAATTACACTCTGTACCTAAGTTATACTGATTAAACTCGCTAAGGGCATCAGGTTGTCGAACTGCGAACCGCTTACTGAATTCATTTGTACCGTAAGATTACAGCGGCTTGCAACATTTTTGCGAGTGTGTGTTCGCTCGTTGCCATTTGCGATCTCGTAGATACTCGGAATCGGGTCAGTCGGACGTTACGTTCACCGATTTAATAACTGCAAAAATTAATATAAATTACATGATAGGATCGCAGCAGTCTGTCTATCAACTTTCAGGAAGCCGTTAATTTGCTGTTGCCCTATAAATTTTGAATCATTGTCCGTAATTAATGTCTACCAGCTCAGCATTTTTTGAAACAGAAAAAAAAACAGAAAAGAACAGTCGTATTAGAAACATACTAGATGGCAGTATGTAATACGGTACTTAGATGGCAAGCTCTGGCTGAATTTACTGCTGCATTTACTAGAAACCACGAATTACACCAATAAGAATGCATAGATTTATTCATATTATTTGTAGGGGCGAATAACATTCAAAAAATATATTCAAATGAGAAATTGGTGCCAGCTGGCATGTGAAGGGACCGTGCCTTTTAGCACTGCCCCATTAGCATCAAACGCAAAGATTAAAAAAGCGCGCGTTCTGATAAACTTCTCCTTGCTGGTCTCCTTTAACAGAGCACTTGCGGCATCATACCCAGTGGCAAGTGCCAAATGTTTCGTCTTCATCGGGAACAAAATTCGAGCAATTGCTAATTAAACTGGCTGATAAGTAAACACTTAATTAATTAAGTAGTTATTAGTTAATGCCTTACCGTAATTAAGCAAGTGGAATACACTGAAATTGATAGAAACGCCCCTGCTAGAGTAATTCGACGCTCAAACTAACGAATTGAACCGGTTCATTTCATCAGTTTCACTGGTGCTCCGCCCCTTCAGTTGACATACATTACATGCATATATTGCTTCCACCGGCCGGCAGAAGTCCGTCAAGCGATTGGTTCGGCCGCGTCAACAAAGCTGCTACTTTGTAGAGTCGCCTGGACTACACGGCAGTAGCAAAGCAAGGGTCTGCATAACCAAACTTCCGGTGGAAATCCTGTTGGATATATTCAATATCACATCATCCAAGCTGCTTGGTGGTTCTTCGTCCCATCTGCAAAACCAAAAAGCCAGTTTATGGCACAACTTATTTCCACTTTCATCCTCACCTGTCCGTTCTACGTCTACTCACAGCTCATAAGACAGTTCCAGATACGGCGAAATACACTGCTTTACTTCTAAATCTTTTTCTGTGAGGGAATCTATCCAGGAGATCAGAATTTCCGCCTTACTACGCTCCAGTACTGGACAAAATTCTGCCAGCGTTAACCGAAAAGCTGCAGCAAATTTGCAGTTATCTAGATCTTCGAAATGATACTGCCAGCATGGAATTCTGATACAAAATGGATCGTAGCAACATCCCAGGTGACTGCGTGATTCAGGACGATGAGCATAGTTGCCCTCTACTGCCATTCCGGTGAAACACATCGATATTTTGCTACTGAAGCAGCAGTTCTTTAAAACTAGGCGCTGGCAACTGTGAGCATAATCGGGATAATGAGACATGGGCAAAAAATTGATTTGTGTATGTACAAAGTCCTGTGTGCGCAACATCGGAAACGGTTTCGGAAATACCAGAAAATCGTTGAACATCAACACGGAATTGTCCGCAATAACCAACCACCGTAATTTCACGGATATGACCTTTATAACATTCACGAAGATTTTCAGAAGCTCCTCCCAGTCACCTGTCAGATAAACTAGCCTGGCGTCACTGGTTACGACATTTGCAACGATTTCCGCAAGTATGAATTTTTTCGAGCAGGTGGTGGCATAACGGCCAATGAACCCCAGACGTTCAGTGACATATTCATGTTGACGAGGCAGTATTATGCACTGCCGAAGCACATTCAAGGACAGCAGTTGATCGAACCAATGGCACGTCCTGAAACAGTAAAATATATTGTGTAAGTGCGTGCATATGGGCGCACGTAGCCGAAGGCTGGTTTATTTACAACCGATGCACGTACTCTATTTTTAGTCTACCACATCGTAAAGTAAGTACATGAAAATACAGAAAAATCAAATTTGGCTATTCGAATTTGCACGGTTTACTGAATTAAGAAATGTTGTCTTACTGTTATTTTTCCCAGGGAGCATAGAATGCCAATACGGCCATATTAAAGCAAGGCACTACAATCTCTCATAGTATCGAAACTTTTAATTACGCTGGCTAAGATGTCGGGAACCCAATTGCTATATTTACTCGATAATAACAATTCTACGAGGTATCGAATTGCCCTGGACCGCTCGCACTAGGTATCGACTCCATTAACCATTTAACTTCTCCGGGCCTGAAAAAGATGACTGAACTAACGTTAACCTCTGCAGATATATTTTATTGTGCATACGTAGTAGTCAGCGCATAATTTAGGAAGAAACTGATTTCGTACGGATTGTCCGGGACATACAGCTTACGCCGTGAAAACGCAACCGAAATTTGCATATATACTTCGACATGGCCATCATTTCGTAGAACTGCACCGTGCGAATCAACGGCATAATGGTATTATACACCGGGAAAGCTATGACGTCATCGATGACGTCATTCGGCTCAGAATTTTTTTCTGAGTCGAATGGTGATGACCTGTTGGGAGGAAAAGGTCATCCAACGGTCGTCCCGTAAGCTGCTTATATATAGTGTTTAACCAATAGTTTTAAGGTTTTCTTAGGTTCTTAGGGTTTCTTTTCTTAGGATAGGTTCTTAGGTTTTCTTAGGTTTTCTTAGGTTTCTTAGGTTTTTTTAGGTTTTCTTAGGTTTCTTAGGTTTCTTAGGTTTCTTAGGTTTCTTAGTCTTCTTAGGTTTCATAGGTCATAGCTTTCCCGTTGTACACTGTATAGTACCATTATGTCGAATCAACAAAATCTAACAGCCTTCTCACACCTTTCCCCGGGTTGGTCTACACTTGCTGGATCGCAAGATTAATACGACTTTGTTTTCCATAAATATATTATGCGTCTGTAAGTATTTATCGTTTGGTGTAACAGCTTCAATGCAAATTTGCAACTGTTTTTGTTTCCTTATTGTTAACAGTTCACATAAAACATGCATGTAATGCACACGGATGTGCTGTAGAGCCTGCACTTACCTGCGAAGTTGATGTTGGTCATAAATATTCAAATAAGAAAATACAATCAGATGAAGCTCCATGCAAACTTCTCCCAAACGGAATTCGTTCCTGTAGTAAAAGTCTGGAAACAGAAAATCTTGGGGAGTACTCTGTACATTCCTCAGCTGCGTACTGCACCACAAACATTTTTTCGCACCGAGACTCAGTGTCGCAGCGTTGTCCCGTTTAACAAGAGCATAAGTCAAACTAGACAAAAACATAAGATTATACCTTGCTGGCAGACAACAATGGACAGCATATTTTCCAAAATGCAAGGAACCACCACTTCTGGAGTCTTGGCAAGTATTTTTCCAAACCGATCAACAGTCTCTTCAAAAATGTTGAGGATTTCATCACTTGTGATGTGGTTTTTGTACTGTTCTTTGACTAATACAGCAATGCAGTTATCCACGACACCGAGGAACATAATTGATCTACAATTGCCATAATAGAACACTCCGGAAAATAAGGGCATCTTTTGTACGGCCTCCAGTGTGCTAACGATACTGGACGAACGCAAGCTTAAAGGTGCAATGGGGATTTTGACATAATTAAATGTCAACGATGTGACACACGACCCGACGTTTGCACGGCGACGAATACGCTTAAAACCAGCACAATTACCATCAAGCACGCAACAGCGCTTGACGCGATTACCCGGCAAATAAACGTCGGCAGTTATAAAGAAGTAATCTCCGCTATACACGCCGTTGACAAGATGTGCTGGTTGCCACGATTCGGGCTGATTCTCATCCGTACTAATCAGAATGTCGATCTCCTCCTTAAATGTATCCCGGTTAAATGCATCCCAATCGCCACAATCTGGTAGGCGCAGTTTATCCATGGGTACCATCTGCGCTTGTTCCTGCGACCCGAGTCGTACCACATACTGACCATTTTCAATGCCGCAGATGTACCCGCGATACGTCGATCCGTCCTTTAAAACATCAACAGCAAAACGCCCGTATGGCTTAGGGATAAGCGGAGCTTTGCGGATTCGCGATAATACAACGTTATCCATTGTGCGTTTCCCTTCAATGATGTGATCATCGGTGTTTGTTTAAAGTGGGATCACAGTACGATATCACAAACATTATTATTAAGATCGCATCTATTTATTTAACAGAACATTGCTGAATCTGGGGCCAGGCCACCATAATAAACGACCACGCCGTACCGGTGAGGGGAGTTTGCAGTTACGAGGTAAGATGGTAAACGTTGGTACTTGCTCGTTCAGGATTTTCACACATACGGGAATAAATTGCAGTGTGGGTATAATTGCAGCTAACAGAAGTACCACAACACAGTTACTATCTGTGGCAAAACTAAAACTAAAGCACAGATGAACTAATAAGATCCTGGGTCAGTGCAGGAAATACAAAGCTGCAATATTCCGAACCTAGAACTACAAAGTAGTAATACTGCAGAAAAATTAAAAATACAAGCGTCCTATTTGCAACGATAGAGGAATGTTTCGTATGAAAAAGGCGCAGTCCGTACCAATCGATATACACTTCTCAAGTATTGTACAATGTACGCAGTATGTGTATACGCGCAGTATCGATCGATCAGTTATCCCGAGTAGAAGTATTGCTAATCATGCCATGCCGCCGTCTTGGCGCACTAGTATCCGTTTTCAGCTCATCCGCATTTGTGATCCACAATATGCGATGTAAATGCATTTTTACAATCGTATACCGTAAAACTTTTAAAAAAGCCACCCAGGTTTCGTAAAATGCACAATATTATTACGCATCTATCAGTGTCATTTCGGCTGTTGCAATGTTTTTTTACCTATAAAAATCGTATTTTTCATTGAACTGTGCTTGCAAAGTAAAGTCCACTACATTTATTTTGATAGAAAGTTCCGTGGTGGGTTTGCAACGTGTAAGTTGGACTGAACGTGAATAATATTATTTACATTATTCAAAGTGAATTAAGCCCAAAGTTATTACAGACGGCCGGGTGTTCCTTAATTATTAAACATTGTCTGGAGATTTGTACTCGTATTGATGATAATGTTGTATCAAATATTTTATCGGTGGAATGGGGGTTGAGTGTGACAAGGTAATTCTTTCGAATCCTAATATCTGTTGAACAAAGCCGTCAACCCCGAAAGTTTCGAATTATCGAAATGGAGAATTTTTTGCTTCCGCCCATTTGCAAAGATCCGCTTATCACAGGCATTTGTGACAGTTTTGCTGTTGATGTAATGGAGTCCGGTTTGACATATCGCGGATACATTTGTGTTGTGGCATGGAGAATGGTCAGCGTCACTGTATGGTGCGAGTTGGCTCAATGCAGCAGTTAAAGACCGTATCCTTGATTCATCTACGTTTAGTGGATGGTAGCCTAGTTTTTCATCCAGAAACATTTACGGAAGAAATCGACGTCCTTATCAGTGTGCAGAAAAACCAACCCGAATCGTGGCAAGTCGGACGTCTTCTGGGCGGGGTGCGTGATGACGACTATCTGCTAGCAAAAGTGGAAGTCTACTTGCCCGGTGATATTGTGCAGCGCTTCCTTGTGCTGGATGGCCCCAGAGCCGCCTTCCGGCGTATCCGTCGCCGCGGTCATCTCGGACCACCCATCAAAAGGCTGTCCTTTCGTCGCGCCTCCATCCCCATGGCCACTATCCGCCTACGCTGTTCTTCCACGGCTAACATTCTTATCACCATTCAAGAGATACCACGATTTCGTAGCCTGTTTTTGATACATGCCAAGGAAATTATGATGTTTCTCGATGTTACGAATGATCGCGTTGCTGTACTAATTGCGGAGGGAAACAAAAGGAACGTTACGAATGACGACATTGTCACAGGAGTTATGCGCGGTGTCGATTGCTTTGTTCGAGCGGCGGACATGCAGGTCAGCTGGGCGCTGGATAAAACGCTCTGTGCTAGTGTAGCCCAGGAAGGTACTGTGCATCGTGTAAAATGGTACAAGTCTTAGAGAGACAGTCGAACGGTCTCAAAGAAATTTCAATCTTTACAGACTTGAAGCATCCTGTTGAACTCCGGCTTGCCGATCTGTATATAGAACTGCATTTGATGGTGTTTTCCTATCTGGATGTGTACGACCAGCATCAGCTGCGCAGGTAACGCCAAAGCAAACCACAACTTCAACGATGAAATTTCAATTTTGGGGCAGTACTGCTCACATTAAGGTCGCATTACAAAGTGGACGCCTGCCAACGCGTACAAAGTGTGACGCTGGCTTACCACACACCTTTTGGCAAATTGTAAAAATGATGGATACAAAAAACCTTTTGCACTTGATAACGCATATGATCGATCATAAAAAATTGCACGACAAGAGGACTGGTGTTTCTGGCCGAAGAGACTGTTTGTTACTTTACGATTTCAGCGGGCCTGGAATTTTACCAGCTAACATCTTAAAGTTTCGACCTGCAGCATATGTGGGCAGCTGAATATGCACTATTTTGCTAGCCGTACTGGACTGATGAAACTTTAATTGGCGAAAGCTTCAGCTTCAGATGAACTTTAAATAGCGAAAGCTTCAGATAACACAGTAACAGATACAATTAATTGTGCCCGAAAAGTTTCTTTATCTGCACACAAAAGTAGCTGGTTTACAATGAACTGGTCCATTCCTCATCACATAGCAATGCAATAAAGAATATTAATAGCATCTCAAGAATGTTTGTTTCTACATGACAGAACTTTCTGATCTATGTAATAAAAGAAGGCAGTATTATAATTAGGTTACTCTACGTGGGCGTAAGCGAAAAATGTTGGCATATGTGGTTGTTTTTATTTGAAAGGGAAACACCACAAAAGGTGCGATCTGGGAAACCAGTAATTAGCAAACGGTGAACACCTTGTGGCTGTATTAATGCTTTGATTTTCAGGACATGCCATTGTTTCCAAAATCTGCTAACGCTGCCTGTAGTACGGCAGTGCACAATACTGCCGCAAAGTATAATTATCGTTCAGGTTTTGAGTAAGCGAGCGTCTAGCTCAAGAAAGTTCTTACTGGCATAAATTATCGGCAACTGCGTCACCAAAGATGCCAAAATTCTATACCTCACCGGTGATTGGGAAGAAGTTCTGGGCTCGTCGACTGGTATTTTAAAGGTCATATCCGTAAAACTTAACTGGCTTATTATGATAGACAATTCTCAGCTTTCGCTCAACGAATTTCTCACTTTCCCTGAACCGTATCCGATGATGTACTTACGCGACTTTGCTAACGTCGGAGGTACCTATCTATCGATGTCCGCTTATCCCGATTACGCTCCCATTTGTCACCACATAATGTTAAAAAACTGCTGCTTCAGTAGCAAGCGCGCGATATGTTTTGAGGGAATGAGATCGATAGTAAATAGCGAATCTAGCCTATTCTGTCCTTGGGAGCGGCGTCACCTCAGATGTTGCCATGTTCCCTTTATTATCTGAATTTCATGGTGGCGGCATACCTTCGCTGCAATATCCAGATCCGCATTTGAGACAGCGTTCCAGTCGGCGCTCGAGAAATCCTGCCCAGTACTGGATCAAACTAAAGCCCAAGAATTTATCAGCTGGCTGGATGCTCTGACGGAGGAGGATATGGAAGCCCAGAAATGCATTTGGCCCTTTATCCAGTTATCTTACGAATTGTACTAATAATTTAGCATTTTAGATTTAAAAGTAAGACACGATTCCGTAAGTGGGCTGTTTGTTTCACAGATGGAAGGAAGAAATTCCGGCGTGTCTGGAGGATGTCCGAAAAGTGTTATCAGCAGATTTTCTCCAAAAAGCTTGGTGAAGCAGACACTTACATTGCTCGTGCCATGCTTTCCTGAGTTCTGACAAGTCTGGCTGCGTCACTATCACGACCAAACGCGATCAGTCCAAGCCTTCTGCTTTTATCGCGGCAAACTCGCGCAAATACCGGTATGGCGGTATAATTTTGTAAATATTGAACTTAATAACAAGCGGCTGCTACGGTGTGCCGGAGTGCTTACGCAGTTCGTTATTAAAATTGCCAGTGATTCTGTTCTGAGCTACATACTCAAGGAAAATTTCTTAACACTTCTTAAATTTGCATATTTGTGTGCATAGATGACGCATGGTTCAAGCTCGAAATTAAAACAGTCGGATGCATAGTACACTCACTGACGTAATCAAAATATAAGTCGCGGTGCAGCGTTATTGTACATTGTACCTACAAGCGTAACACTGCTTTTGACGCTCACAATGTTTAATTCCGAACTGCATAAATCAGACCATGACCCGATTTCTTCAGGCTTACCACTGTTTTTCTTTAATCGTAGTGTCCAATAATATACTATGTACTCGTACATGTAATACAGAGCTGTGCCGAAAACTTTGGGCTCGCAGCGACTGTTATCATGAGTTTCAAATTCAAAAAGTTTTGATTACGCATTTTTATGTATCTTCGCCAAAAACAAAGAGAGTCACCTATCGTTTATTATCGGTCAACCGGCGTAGTAATTTAACCGTGGACACTGATGACTCATCAGAATAGTCCTTACAAAGCCGGAATCACAAACTGGAAATTTGAGAAATTCATTCATCAACAGCGCAGAATTGTTCATTGGTGGCGATGACCAGCCAGTCCAGCTTCACACCCGTGACGACCAGGACATCAGCCAGTGCGAGCCACCCTCGCTCCCAGTCGTTGGTTAAATATAAAAACCTTCACAGCCGGAGTAAGGCAGTTTAGAATGATGTGAGCCATTTTGAATTTTTCAGAGTCGAGTGTGTATTTGCTCAAACGTTCAGTGACACGTTTCCGCTGGTATCACGACATTTCACAACGCGACATTTCAGATCGTAACATTTCACCGAATACACTTCATGACCACGACATTTCTCATCCGCAACTTTTCACAACCGTAACGTTTCGGAGCGGTAACATTTCGCAACGGCGACTTTTCGCAACCATGACATATCGCAACCGCAACGTTTCATGACTCGTTCATTGCCGGATCGTAACAACGGGGAAAGGACAATGTATACAATACACTGTAACAATGGTATTCAGGCGTTTCGCAAGTGGATTCGACTGTTACCATTCCAAATACGGCGAATTAATAAAATTTTATATTTTTGATTACTGCAAAAACTAGGGCTTAATTATGTTTATTTGCATCTTATACCTAAAAGTCTACAACCGATCAGCAAATTAAATGCAAACAGTACAGGTAACGCGCCTTTATTATTACTGTTATAATCATCTGCCAAAAGTTTCAGGCACAGGTTAATTTGATTTTATTGACATAGGTAAATTATTGTAGATTGTGATTGTTAACAAAAATATTAATCCAGTTAACAACACACACACATGCGCGAAATATGCCTTATTCTGCACATTAACAAATTAAAAACCATACTGTAAAACATCACTCCGCATTCGATGTAATGATATTAAAAGTCCCAGTAGACCGCATTCTATGATTAGTTTTCTATTTAAATAAAATCTTCATATCAGCGTCAGTTATGCCCAATTAAGGTAGACAATAAGCTAGTGTATACTAATATTTTTACTATGCATCAGTTTTAAACTGGCAAATACACTGGCAGCCTGTAGTGGTAAATCTTTGTTGACAATAAGGGCCAGCTGGCGGGGCTTTTCCAGAGTCTTGCCAGCTCGCTGCTTTATATCCATACGTGCCAAATGCGCCAGAACTTGCGCTTATCAGCCAGGTGATTATGCTCTTTCGTGACCTTTGGGGGATTTCCTTCAGTGAGCACCAACCGACCATGACAACCGCTTTTTCGACATCGCCAGAATTTCGAATTATTTTTCTTATCTCGCATATATTGAAAATACTGAAAAATTTTTAGTGGCCCACCTCGATTTGTCACTGAATCGATTACGCTTAATTCGTCCATCTAAAGGCAACTCAGTAACTGACAAAATAATACATAGCTTCCAAACGAATCGAAGAAAATTAAAACTGCGTGTCTCGAACCAAGATGTTATGTCTTTTTGACTGCAGAGTACCGAAATATTTGACTTGCATCCGGATTCAAGCAAAAAATCTAGAACATTGCGCTAAGCCTTTTACCTAATGGTGCATGACCCCGTATTGTACGTTATTTCAATAGACTGAGGTTGAGAAACGTTACTGTCATGAAAAGTTGCGGTTTTGAAACGTTGCGGATCTAAAATGTTACGGTTCTGAAAAGTTGCGTCGGCGAATTGTCCGGGGTCTGAATCGTTACTGTGGTGAATTGTTACTCGGTGAAACGTCCGGTCATGAAATGTCTGGCGGTGAAACGTCGCACAATCGTTTCCGCTGACACGGCAAAATTACAGATTGTTGGATGATAGGCAGAGGCAGTAGCTGACTGAAGCACAGACACGTCCTGAAAAGGAAAAGGCTTTTAGTAGAAGTGAAACGAGATGCGTATTTTAAAATAAGGTGGCCAGCTATGTTAGCCTATGTGGTGCTTAGAGGATTTATTTCCGACGGCAAATCATGTCACAATGCTCAAATCCGGATTGCACTGTGGGCCTGTGGCTATATATTGTGCCTGCTGAGAGAGACTTCGTGGAGGTGGTCAGGCTATAGACGTCTCGTACCGCCTTGCGGAGGATCGCCCAGTGATACGTGTTTTGTATGTATTTGCCAGTGTATGCAGCCATATTGCAGGTATATTCAGCAGTGGATGTACGAGTGCTTACCGAGTGCACACGTACATCCGGTTCAGAGCCAGCGTATCAGCGTATCAGCAGTATGCAAATTATCAACGGATAATTTGCTCAGTTCGCGGTGTGTTTTATGTCAGCTTGTCAGCCACATCTCTGTGTCATAGTATGAGCGATGTTATAGTGATTTTTGGTGATTTTTGGTGTTGGGAAGAGTAAAAGAGGATTTTACGTGTACACTGGCTATACAAACCTGTTGTGTTCTCGTCCCGTATTTCCGGTAGATATAGCTGCAGGCACCTCACGTAGATCTCGGCCTGCATTGCATGGTAGCAGCTTCGTGTCGGTTCTCGAAGATCGGTCTGTGGATTTCCATCCCCTCGGAGATCTGCGGATAGTCCTTCCAACCGGACACCTTCATCATCATCCCAGTGAAGTCAACATTCTGGTGCGCGAAAACGGTGCTAAAACCACCTACCAGAACCCCATCAGGAAAGATCCAGCAAGCAAGACAGTGAAGTAAGCCCTGCTTAACAGGCTAATTTTCACGCATTTTTCTTTTCATTTTTCTTTCTCACTAACCTAATCATCAGTACATCAGGCGACACCTGTGTACTTTCTGGTAAATTAAATTTCACGCATCAAGCCAGCATTTATCAGAGAATTCGCAGCCAGAAAGACTCTTAAATTTAGTTTGTGTAGCCAGTGTACACTGACTTCACAGTGTTACACCACTTGTTGCTTTTTATATTCTCAGCGATATTGCCAGCGAATTATCCTTTTCCTGTAGCCACAGTTTGTTGCAGCATTTCCAGCAGAATATCAGGGAATTATCAGTGAAAATCAGTGATTGTATGATCAAAACTTCAGTGATTTATGCAGTGTTTTTCTTACACGAATTACGCTGAGTAATTGCCAGTTTTTATCAGTGGTATCGTGTGCAAATTTTCGAATTTCGTAGCCAGCATTTCCAGCGCCGTTTTATCAGAAAATTCAGCTCTTTTAGCCAGTGCAGAATCAGCGGAATTTCCGAAAGGTTACCATCTTTTGTGAATTTCCGTGTTTTTGCACGCAGTTCATCGCACTTACAGGTATATCCGCAATCAGCGTTGAAGATTTTCACCGCTGATAACAAGCCAGCAAGCCAGCTTTTGTTCTCGGCTCGTTTGAGTACAATAGCCGCTTGACGCACGCAGCTCAGAGACACGGGCCAGAGAGGAAATTTTCAAATTCACTTTTGAAAACAACCTCTTGCATAATCGTCTGCCTATTTCCAGGCAAGCGATTTCTGCTAATCAGAAATCAGTGACCGGTATTTTTCTCCGGATAAACCAGTTGCGATTTGGAAATTAATTTCCAAATTTGCAACAATTCAGTCGTAAAATAAATCAGCGAAATATCTGCCAGTTTAATCCAGAGTATTACAGCATCGTATCAGCAACGCCAGAAAAGATGAGTTTCTTTTTCCGTAAATCAGTAACCCCAGCTAAGGCAGTGCAGATAGAACCGGAAGAAACAGATAACGAATTGCGGTCTCACGAATCAGAAATACCGGCACAAGAGCGCGTCTCAAGGTCAAAAGCACAGAAGTTAAAGGCAGTTGGGCATGATGTCCCTTATCACACCCTTGAGAGTGTAAATCAGCAGCAAGCATTTGCCTGAAGCTCGAAAATGGCACGTTCTCCTGCGCGTAAATCCACAGGGAACGTCCAGCCGCCAGTGAATTCAGATTTAGATGATGCTGACTCCATTATTGGAGGTCAGCATCAAGATCAGGAAACCAGCGACCATTCAGAAGAAGAGCACGAAAAGCCAGAGAACGAACAGAGTCGTATTCAGGACGATAATCAGCAGCCATCATCCACCGATCCAGCGGCATTTCATACGCCGCAGGAAGCTGTGGATTTAAATCAGGAAATTGCTCGCTTGAGGGCAATGTGGGCAGAAGCGAAAATGGATGCTTTCCAAGATCGCGGAAAGTTAAACTCAGCTGAAGCTAAGCTCGCAGAGTTGGAAAAACTTGTAGATCGCCAGGAAAGTGTGATTAATTTTCAGAAGCAGCATATAAAAGCCAGAGATAAGCAGTTAAACGATCATTTAGCCAGAGATGATAAAACCGGCATGAATGTACATCAGGCACTCGAAGAAGTTCAGAGAGCACATTCTGAAGCCCAGAGAGCACATGCAGAAGCTCAGGAAGCACATGAGGATTGGCAGAGA